CGTGGCCTGAATTTCGGAGGTGCGGATGGGCGGTGATCCAGGTGGGGGGGGGGATGGTCGATCGATCAGGGCCGTGCATGGCCCACTGCCTGGCAGAAGGCAGACCGTTGGTGCCGCCGGGCGCTGGGCTCTGTTGCAGGGAATTGGACGATTTCCGTTTCTGCGAGTGCTAGTTTTTGATTTGCTGGGAGCCGTGAGGGAGGGCCAGAGCTGGTCATCCAGTTTGTCCATGGCCCAAGGGACCCACGCGTCGACCTGGAGGAAAATATTCGCGTGCTCTGGGTCCCGAGGCCCTCCCAGTTTTGAATGGGTCCCAGCTCACCTCGATCTTGAAGAGTTTTGTTTGACGTTGGCCCACGGACCGTCAAGCAACGCTTCGGGATGAGAAACCGGCCCCGGGGAAAGGGCTGGGGCTTCCGGGAACCGCGCATTGAAGAATTCAGGACTTCGCATGTCTGGGTGCGGGCCCCGCGTACCCCGTGGCCGCCTAGCGGTCGATGTGCACAGTGGCGGCAGCTTCGGTTCAGCTGTCGTTTGGCTTGTAATTCTTTGGTGCTGCCGTGCCTGGGCTCCCTTTTTGTCACCCGGGCGCCTGCATCGCGAACTTGTGCCCCGCAGAAGGACTTGAGCATTCAATAGTGATGAAGGTCAGGTGTGCGCGTAGGTCCTTCCAAGTAACCTGAGCACTGGCCGTATTGGTGAAGGATTTGCGTTGGTCCCTACTGCTTCTTGGTGGTCATCTCCTGGGTCGTGCAGGCTCGTGTCTTAGTCAGTGGGTGTTGTTCGAAAAGGGTACTTAGTCATGCGATCGTGCTCGTGATCTTCTCTCGCCCCTTCGTCATTCTCCATCCTCCTCATCCTCCTCGTTTTCCTCCTTCTCCATTATCATCCTCTTTTCTCTCCTCCTCCTCCTCCTCCTGCTCCTCCTCCTCCTCCTCCTCCATTACAGGGCGATCCGCATCCGTGGTCGCCCCGCGGCCAGTTCCTGCGCTACCCCGCCCTCGGCGTCGCCCTGCTGCGGCGCCGCCCCATGCCCGACCCCGCGGCTCCGTGACGACCTACGAGGTCCCACAGATCCTCCCAAGACGGCCACCGCGAGGCCCCCAAAGGGCCCGACTCTCCGCCCCGAGCGCTTCGAGATCCCACAGATCGTCCCAAGGCGGCCCCCGAGGCCCCCAAGGGGCCCGACAGTCTCCGCCCCGACCGCCTGGAGGGCTCCGGGCGTCCCGCCCAGCGGCGCACACGCCGCAGAGGGAGGTCGCGAGGAGAACGGCCGCGGGCGCCCCCGCAGGGGCGCGGGCTCCTCGGCCGCGTCGGCGAGCGGCGGGGAAGGGCTCTCCAGAGGCGGAGGAGTTGAGGAGGGCCGCAGGAAGCCACGAGGCGAGGGCGGCCAAGGCCTCGCTCGCGGCGCAGCAGGGGCCGAGCGCGCGGCGGCCAGGCCTCGGATCCGCCGAGGAGGCCGACGCCGCGCCGAGGCCAAGGAGAGGAAGCTCAGCTCGCGACGAAGGACCAGGACCCGAAGGGGTTGCTCTTGCTGCTGGCCATGCAGGTGGCTTAGCTCACGCAGAAGTCGGGGGCGATGTGGGGGATCCTTCCACGCGCCACACTGGCGGAGGAGGAGAGCGAGGTGGTGGCGGCGACATGCTGACAGAGGAGACGAGCGAGGTGGTGGCGGCGACGTAGCAGGAGCCGGAGGACTTCGCCTCTCACGCGGCCAGCCTTCGGACGCGAGCGGGACGACTCGAGGAGGAGGCCAAAAAAGGCACAGGGCAGGGGCGCGACGGAAGCGAAGGAGGCGGGAGCAGCAGCCGAGCGGCTCGTGGAGGAGCCTGCGAGACATCGGGCCGCCAGCACCAGCAGTCTGCGCGGCGAGGCTGATCGGCCAAGAGATCGGCAAGAGGAGCCGCCAGCTGCTCGAGGTGCTCGAGGGAGAACTCGAGGAGCGTCCACCACGATACCATCGGCCCTGCCGCCTGGAGAGCTGCCAAGGGCCAGGACATGATCAAGGTTGTCTTCGCCCTGGACGTGGCGAAGGACAGCTGATCATCGAGAGCTGCTAGGCCATGGGAGCCATCGTGGCCCAGGAGATGCCCCCAGCGGGATACCTCGAGGAGAGGACGTCGGCCTGTACCGACGTGCTGAAGAGCTAGAGCCTGGGCTGTCGCCTGCAGGTAATGACCCCTGGTCCCCCCTCGCGGGGTCCAGGGTTGATTTTTCGTGACCCCTACCTCGCGCGGGGTGTCTCGAGAGGTGCGGGTTGTACATATGTTTTTCCTTTCGCTGCGCGCTCCGCCTCGTTCCCTGCGTTTCCTCCTTCCGCGACTGCAAAGTTTAGCCCTAGCGCTTAGTGGTGCAAATTTTCTTGCGAGAGTGGCTTATTGTTCTAACTGTCGAACAGCCGCGTCCAAACAAGTAAGCTTCTCCGTTCCCTTCTCAACTATTCGTTTCCTGCCTGTTGTCTCCTCCTCCTCCTCCTCCTTCTCATCCTCCTCCTTTTTCTCTTTTTCCTCCATTCCTCCATTCGCCACCTGCTTCCCTGTTCCTCTTGCTTTTCTTTCTCCTCCTCCCCCTCCTCTTCCTCCGCTTTCTGCGGCTCTTCTACTCCTCCTCTTCCTCCTTCTCCTTCTCTCGTCCTCCTCCTCCTCCTCCTCCTCCTCATCCTCATCCTCATCCTCCTCCTCTTCCTAATCCTTTCTTCCCACCCCCTTCCTCAATTCATCCTTCTCCTCCATGTCCTCTCCGCCTCTGGGAGGGCCGCGGGGGGGCAACGCAACTGCGGTGCGCCTGCGCCCGCTGGCCGCACGTGCGTGCCGCGAGAAAACAGGAGCACGGCAGAGCCGCCCCATTTCTCCCCCCCCTTCCCCCACGCCGCCCCTCCATCACCCCACTTCCTCTCCTCCTCCCCCCCCCCCTCCTTCACCCCTGGTCCTCCTCATGCTCCTCCCCCTGTCCTCCTCCTCCCCGCCTCCCCCCTCCTCCCAACCAAATCATCCTCACCGCTCCTCCCTCGACCTCTCTCCGCCTCTTTTCCCCTCTCGCTGACTCAGGCGCGCCTTGCCTTCCCTTGCCTTGGCTCCTCCCTTCTCCACTCGTCCTTCCACATTCGGCGCGACACACAGTCCACGTCCCAATCACCATGCGTCAACGTCTCGAGTTTTGTATCGGAGCCTCCCGCACCGAGGAGCGGAACAGCACGCCACCCGCTCGCAGGGCATGGCGCGTCGTTGGGGCCGCCGCCGCGACACGCTGCGTAAAGTGTCCCGACCGCAGGCACGCGAACAACCGTGCCCGCGAAGAGTCAACGCACCCTCCCTTCTCCCTACTTCTCGCTCGCTCGCATGGACCGTAACTGTGAAGCTAGTTTTGCGCACGCGCTCGCTTGCCCAGGGCGTGTGGGGGCGGGGCGATCGGCTTCGCGGAGCACATGTATCGCGCAAGCTGTCTCGGTCGATGCCTCGCTCATGTATCGTAAGACTTCTTCGGCACCTCACTGCGCGGCCTCTGTGTCACGGACTGCCCGTGGCGGACATGCGACATGCGGGCAGTCGTCCCGAGCGAGCTGCCGACGCCGTGGCGCACCGATTGCGTGACATGTTTGTGGGTACCACGACATTGCTGTGATTTCAGTAACGTCTGTCGCATCCTGCGGGCTTTGTTCTTCTGGCCCGCAACCGCTCGTGCTCAGGCTTCTGATGGCGGCATGGTCCTAGGGCACCCAGCGCCAGCGGCCGCCGGGCTTCTTCGCGAGGCGATTCGGGGTGCGGCCGCGGAGGCGGCGAGGCAGCTCCTTGTCGGGGAGGCGCAGGCGCGCTGCCCGAGCTGCCCGCCGTGTCCGAGCCGGCCAGGGTGCCCGCCGCCGCGCCCGCCTGGCCAGGGTGCCTGGGCGCGGTGGGCGCATGTGAACGCAGCCACGGGGGCCTTCGGTAGAGCTCCCTGTGGGGCCACGAAACGTGTGAGGGGTGTGCCGAACTGATGATGATGGTGATGATGATGACGATGATGATGGTGACGGTGATGCTGATGATGGGGATGTTGATGATGGGGAGAGGGAGGGGGGGGGCAGTGGGAGGAAGGACGCGCGGCGCTGTCTCTTCAAAACGAGGACCCAACACCAGAGGATGGTTGGAAAAAGGATGGGAGGAAGGGCGAGACGGAGGAGGAGGAGGAGGAGGAGGAGGTGGAGGAGGAGGATAATCGTGTTCCATGCGCCCGAGGGCGCGTCGGCGCTGCACGCGATCAGGCCAGCGTAAAGGCTTCGATCCGCATACGCACGCAGTCCACCAGCGCCACATACAGTCGGGGCCCTGAAGAAGGAACCCTTTTCGTTGGGGAGGGGCTCCGCGTTCCTTCAGTGTTTGACAGCTTGCCTCAGGTTTCCCGATGTTCTCGATAGGAAATCGAAGTTGAACTTCTGGAAAAATAGGGACCTCATGCCTCATTTAGGGTCCCTTAGGTCAACGCCCCGACTGTAGTTGCTCAGCTCATTCTAACCGGTCCCCCTGGTTTATTCGAACGCACACTCCGCTCAGTAGCGGCAGGGCCCCGCGGTCGGAGACCGAATCCCGCAGCGGGTGCTGCTCCTCGCCTGGGGCAGCTCTGCGGTGCAGATCCACAGAGTGTCGGGGCACCGCAGCGGTGATGGGCTTCTGCCCTCTTCTCCGGCAGACAGCCCCACTTGACACACGGAGGGAGGAGGGTGGAGGAGGAGGGGCAGGGCAGAGGAGGGCGGAGGAGGAGAGACACGGAGGAGGAGGAGGGGGGTGGAGGAAGAGGGGAAAAGGAAAAGGAGAGGACAAGGACAACGAGGAGGGTGGAGGAGGAGGCGCGAGCAGCATCTCAGCATCCACGCCCGCGGCTCGCTATCCGCTATCCGCTCGCCCTCCAGGGGCTCTCGCCGGGGCGTCGGCGCGGCCCCGGGGTGATCGGCTCTGCCCTCCCCCCTCCCCGCCCGGGGGCGCCCCGAGAGGAGGGTGGCGCCATAGGGGGCCGAGCCGGTCGGGATGGGCAAGCGGCTGGCTTAGCTGTTGTGCGAAGGATGGTCGGGTAGGAGGGAAGGTAGGAGGAGGAGGAGGAGGAGGAGGAGGAGGAGGAGGAGGAGGAGGAGGAGGAGGAGGAGGAGGAGGAGGGTAGCAAGAGGGCTGAGGGACAGGGAGGCGCAGGAGGAGGAGGGAGGGGGGAAGGAGGGCGGGGAGGGGAGGAGGACGGTGGATGAGGGGGTCGGGAAGAGGAGGGAGAGGAGGGAGAGGCATGAGGATGAGGAGGAGAGGGAGGAAGAGGAGGACCAGCAACAGTAGGAGGCAGAATGAGGAGGACGATAAGGGAGGACGGATTGGAGAGGATAGTGCAGAAGAGGCATGCGCGGGGAGAGGGTGGCATGAGGATGATTAGCAGTAGCAGGTTGTAGATGATACATACCAAGGCATGTTGTGGATGCGGGAGCGGGAGACGGATGAGGACGAAGAGGAGGATGAGGAGGGGAAATGCAGAGACATTGAAGAAGGAAAAGGAGGAGGAGGAGGAGGAGGACGGATAGGAGGAGATAGTGAGGATGAGGAGGAGGATGAAGGAGGAATTTGATAACGCAGGCCCATCATAATCGGTTTGCAGGAGAGAGAGGTGGTGGATTGTGAATGCGTTGCGGGCAGAGCCAGAATGCGGATGCTGGTAAAGTTGAAAAGTTGAGCTTGTACCGCACCACATAACTTGCACCACGTAGCTTGCACAACATATCTTGAACCACCTAGCTTGTCCTACGCAGATAGCACACGGATACTGCACTACCTAATTTGCGCCACATAGTTTGCACGACCTAGCTTGCACTACATACCTTACAGTACAGGTTTTAAGCCCATCGTTTGCACCACGTTGCTCACACCGCACAGCATACACATTAACACATCCATCAATTACTGTTTTGGGTTCACGCTGCCACACGCAGTCATGTTGCATATTGGTGCGTATGTTGACCAGTCGTACGTACGTCCCCCGTCTCGTTGAGAACATACGTCCTTGCCGATGTGGACGTGTCTCTGCCTTGCATTGTACCAGTGTTATTGGTCTTGGTGCGATTGCATGTGTGCGTTGCGGCGATTCGGGCGGATCAGGTATGTGCCGATGACTAGATCATCATGTTTTCTCCCTTGTGTGGGGGGGTCCGTATATCTGGCTCGTGCCGTATTGCTTGACATATCAGGCGAAGCAGGGAATAGTCCAGAGTCGGTATCGCATGCGTGCGCGATTACGCCGATGGGCATTGTGGTCAGTTTGGTGTCGCCGTGAAGCAAAGCCACTGCTGTAGTATCCCGCGCGGATGTTGCAAGCTCGTTGCGGCAGTGGGTCCTTGCCGTTGCCTCCACGAGTTCGCATTCCACCGTCTCCCGAGGCCTTCCCAGGGCGAGTGCCCTTCGAGGTGTCGGGGCCAGCGCGGCCAAGCCCCAGCTCCGCCCCGTAGCAGCATCACGGCCGGGAGCTTGTGGACTTGGACAGCGCGCCGCTCCGCCTGTTCTGGCCCACCGCGCTTCGGCGCGACACGCTATCAATCCCCCGGCCCCGCAGTGCCGACGTCCCGAATTTTCCCAAGCTTTCCCGAGCCTCCCGCCCTGCGGAGCGGAGCGACGCGCTATCCGCCCCCTTGGCACAGCTAAAACAGGGCTAGGATCGGGATAAATCGCTCCAGAGCGTTCCGGAGCGCTCTCAGAGCGTTCCGGAACGCTCTGGAGCGGCCGCGGCGCCCAAGACATCCTCCAAACCCGCCGATTCTCAGAGATTTCGAGTTATCCCGATCCGATTTTGTCCCGATCGTCACGTCGTTTTAACAGCGTGTCGCCGGGGCTGCAGCCGCGACACGTTGTCCGAAAGGTCCAGGCCGTAGCAGCAATCAGAAGAGATGTGCTCGGTAGACCCGGCTAGACACTATTCAGCACGCAAGCTATGTTTGTTTGGGAGATGGCTGTTTTGGTCTTATGCTATCGTGCCGTCTACAGACGGCTCGATGTTCCAGTTTGTTTCAGCTCGTTCCGTGTCGCATCTGCCCACTGGGCCCAACATTAAAGTTATTGTTTCCTGGCCTGGCTTTATATGGCAAACATGCCAAGTCTGACCTGACGTGCATCGCCAGGAACTCTCAGCTATATGGTGCGTCTCATCTACAGGCCTACAGATATGATCTCTGCGTGCAGGTTATGGCCTGGAGTTGTTGACTTGCTGACTGAATTGATTGAACCATTGATTTGTTTTGTGATAAACTGATCGCTCCCGTAAGCAGATCGTTGCAAGTTTCGGTGGCCCTAGGAGCAACCGATGGCGCGACCATTCGTAGGCCGTTTGAAATTTCGTCTCCCGAGGGCGCAACCAATGGTGCAATAATACAGACAACCTGCATAGTAGAGATGGGCAACCTTCCCAAGGGTACCCTTGCATCCTTGCCTCCTCGGTCCATCCTTCGCCACTTTCGTTGGCCGCGCCCCGCTCGAAAAGCTTCGAAACGGCCTTCCAAGGCCATTGCATCCTTACCGTGGATCCTTATTGCACGTGCCGACTGCGTCAGGCCGTCTCCACTTTCGGCACCTGCGGGCAAGACCTGGGAGCCAACAACTACTAGACCGTTCCCAGTTTCTGCGGTGTAGTGTGGAACCCATCTCGCAACTCATTGCCAAGGGCGCATCCCACGGCGCAGCCAAGCCCACAGCGCAATCTCCCACGGCGCTGTAGATGGAACAGCCGTGCTGCGCAACCAGTGGTGCAGCTCCTGCCGCAGCCCGTGGCGCAACCCATGGCGCAACCGATGGCGCAACCTATGGTCCAACCTGTTTTGCAGCCCGTGGGCGCAACCTGTGGTGCAACCTGTGAGGCAGCCCATGGCGCACCATGCGGCGCAGCCAGTGGAGCAGCCTGGATTCGACGAAGTCTGTCATGGTTGCCGCGCTGTGGGGCCCACAGGGCGAGATCCGCCTCCTTGTCCGCCGCGCGGACGGCGTCCTACGGGCGGGAATTTTCGGTCAGCGTGTCCCACCACGCTTCGGCGCGACTCGCTATCCATGTTCCGGTCCCAAGGCATTGACGTTCCGTGCCTTTCCTAGGCCCCCTTGCCCCGCGAGGCGGAGCGACACGCTATCCGCTTGCGGGGCACAGCGTGTCCCTGGGGCCGTCGCTGTGGCGCTCAGCAAAAGTACCTGACCGTACCTCTTCAGGGTCGCCTCGGGTTTTCTATCCAACCGGGAGGTGCGACCTCCTTCTCACCGTTTGGTCGGCTGTGCAGCGCGCGTGCGACGTGATTGAGCGTGCTGCCGTGCGCACTGCCCCTGCAGGGGCTACGCCGAGGCGCAAGGATGATGTCAGGCCCGCGGCCAAGGCGAAGGGCAGCGCCAGCAAGAAGAAGGAGGATGCAGGCGACGGCCGCAGCGACCGCCGCCCCCGCCCCCCCACGTCCCCTCCCCTCGCGTCCGCTTCCTCTTCCTCTTCTCTCTCCCTCTCTCCCCGCGCGTCCCCTCTGAGGAGGCAAGAGAAAGAGAGGAGCAGACGGAGGAGGAAAAGGAGGAGTAGGAAGAGGAGGCGAAGGAGGAGGAGGAGGAGGAGGAGGAATAAGGCGGGAGGAGGAGGAGGAGGAGGAGAAGGAGGAGGAGGAGGAGGAGTATGAGGGGGAGGAAGAGGGTGGGAGGAGGAGGAGGAGGAGGAGGAGGAGGAGGAGGAGAAGGGGAGGTGCAGGAGAAGGGGAGGTGCAGGAAGAGGAGTGGGAGGACCCTCCCGCTCTCCTTCTCCGCGCCGCTGCCCCATGCTCGCTTTCTTCTCACGCCGCCAGGCTTGCCTCTAGGAGTCCCAGTGTACAGTCGGGGCCCTGAAGAAGGAACCCTTTTCGTTGGGGAGGGGCTCCGCGTTCCTTACGTGTGTCGCAGCTTGCCTCAGGTTTTCCTTATGTCTTCGATAGGAAATCGAAGTTTAATCGATAGGAAATCGAAGTTTAATGTATGGAAAAAAGGGGGCCTCGTTCCTTGTTTAGGGTTCCTTAGGTCAACGCCCCGACTGCAAGCCCGGGAGAGCTGGGCCACTGCCCGTCCCCCTACATTGCCCCCGCGTGCGTCCAGCGATGCGCGTGACGTCCTCTTCTCTCTGCGATGCGCATGTTCACCCCCCCACACACACACACACACCCACACCTCGCCCCTACATTCGCCCATCCACGCGCGCGGTTGCATCTGCTATCCGCTATGCGCATGGCGTCCTCCGCTATCCGCGCGGCCTCGGCCAAGCTGTCCGCACGGCTTCTTCGGCTGCCTGCATCGTCTTGTCTTCTGGAGTAGAGGAGAGGTAGGGCAGGGCCGAGTAGAGCCAAGTCGAGTAAAGTAGGGCAACTGGGAGGTAGAGTCGGGCATACTATAACAAAGCAGGGTCGAGTAGGTTCCAGCGGACTGGTGTCGAGCAGGGTAGACTAGAGTAGACCAGGGTAGAAACGAGCAGAGTCGGACAGAGTATAATAGTGTAGAGTAGAATAGAGGAGAGTATACCAGAGTGGAGTGGAGTAGGAGTATGGCGGGGTAGCATCTACCAGGGTAGGGTCGGATGAGCAGAGTGAAGCCGAGCAGAGTAGAGTCGGTTAGAATAGGGGTCGAGTAGAGCAGAGTAGGGTATGGTAGCGTAGTGTAGACTAGCGTAGAGTAGTTTAGGGTTGCGTGGACTAGGGTAACGCCGACCGTGTATGTAGCGTAGGGTAGACGGTAGAGTAGAATCGGGTATAGAGTTGAGTCAGGTAGAGAAGCATGAAACAACCCCGGGTAGAGTCGAGTAGAGTGTGTGATATTATAGGCGAGCGTATGAGACGTAGCGCAGAGTATGATTATTCGTGTAAAGTAAAGCAGAGTAGGGAAGGTTATGGTAGGGTAGGGTATGGTAGCTTAGGGTAGACTAGATTAGGGCAGATGGTAGAGTAGTGTTGGGTCGAACCGGTTAGAATTGAGTGAGTAAAGCAAAGTAGAGCATATGATGCTCACAGTAAGCCTTTATGTGCCCGCCTACTGGTACTGATCTTTTTCAGAGCAGATGGGTCGAGGAGGGCAGGGCCGGGTACAGCAGAACAGGGTATGGCAGAGAAGCGCAGATGTGGCGAGGAGCAGCGCAGGAGTAGGAGGAGGGTATTGGGAGAGAAGTGGGAGTCAGCCAGGTCGAGCGAGTCCGAGGGCCTTGCCCACTCCCACCCTGCTCCCACTGCAGAAGAGCACAAGCATCGATGCTGCCACGACGTGCTATGGGGACTGGAGCGCGCTCCACCGCGCAGGCGGACGGCGCTCGCGCGCGGCCCCGCCTGCGACGGCTGTGTCCACGAGACAGCTGCGCGGGCCGCGCAGGGGCGCACGGAAGCAGCGTGAGACTCCGGCGGGAGGCCCCGCCGACGGAGGAGGAGGAGGAGGAGGAGGAGGAGGAGGAGGAGGAGGAGGAGGAGGAGGAGGAGGAGCCCCTCCTCCCCCCGCCTCGCGCCCCTCCCCCTCCCCTGAGGCGACGACGGCGGCGAATGGCCGAGGGGCGGGCATTGCGCGCATTCGCTGGGGAGCCTCGCCGAAGGCATGGACCATCGGCGCCCCTGATAGGCATGCTTCAAGGGGAGGGAAAAGCCACAGACACAATGAATCGCCCACTCCGAGGAAGATATAGGAAAATATGGGAAGTGGGGGGGAAGACGAAAACCCCGAACATGTGGGAAACCATTGGGAATCCTGCGATTTGTTTATGATTGATGCTCCCCCCTCGGCCTTAGGCGACGACGCGCAGCGAATAACCGGCGGCGACCGCGAAAATGGAAGGGCGAAGGGTGCCGAAAATTTGTGCTAAGCAGAGCCGAAGGAGAAGGAGGAGGAGGAGGAGGAGGAGGAGGCAGAGGAGGAGGAGGAGGAGGAGGAGGAGGAGGAGGAGGAGGAGGAGGAGGAGGAGGAGGAGGAGGAGGAGGAGGAGGAGGAGGAGGGGGGGCAAGGGGGGGGGGGAGGGCACCCTCACTCACCCAGCTGGCCCCGACGGCCCGTCGAGCCAGAGGTCGACGGCTGAGGGCCCCCTCCCGCCCGAGGTATCGAGCTGGCCCACCCCGTGGCCCACCAGGGTCGACGCCGCGGCAGTTTGGCCCGCCACATAAGAGAAGTCATCGTCACCCAGCGGGCGGACTTCCGAAGGGGGCGAGGCTCAGAGCGAACCGGGCGCGGGAGAGAGCGCGGGGCCGGCCCGAGGCCCCTCGGACGGCATCCAGGGTCGACGCCTAGGCAGGCTGGCCCACCACGGCGGTCAGCGTCGCCCAGCGGGCGCGCTCTGCCCGAGCGGCGGACTTCCCAGGGAGGAGGAGGAGGAGGAGGAGAAGGAGGAGTGAAAGGAGGAGGGAGGAGGAGTAGGAGGAGGAGGGAGGGGAGGAGGAGGAGGAAAGGCGAGGGAGTAAAGGAGAGGAGGAGGAGGAAAGGGGAGGAAGGAGAAGGAGCGCGAATAGGAGGAGGAAGGCGGAGGAGTAGGAGGAGGAGGAGGAGGAGGGGAGGAAGGAGGAGGAGGAGAGGAGGAGGCGGAGATTGTCTTTTTTTTTTAGCAGAGAGAAGGAGGTAGGAGGAGGAAGGACGGAGGAGGAGGAAGGAGAGGAGGAGGAAAAGGAGGAGGAGGAGGAAAAGGAGGAGAGGAGGAGGAGGAGGAGGAGGAGGAGGAGGAAAGTGGGGGGGAAAAGTGGAGGAGGAGGTGGATGAGGAGGTGGAGGAAAGGAGAAGGAAAGGAGGATAAGGAGGAGGAGGGAGAAGAAGAAGGGGAGGAGGAGGAGAAGGAGGAGGAGAAAGGAGAAAGGAGGAGGACAGGAGGAGGAAGGGAGGAGGAGGATGAGGAGGAGGAGGAGGAGGAGAAGGCTCAGAGCGAGCTTTTGGGGGGCGCGGGAGGCAGCGCGGGGCCGGCGCCGGAGGCCCTTCGGACGGCAGGCTCACCGCCGCCCAGCTCGGGTTCCAGATCAGGGGGGGGCCCCCCCCCCCCCCCCCCCACCACGCCTGCCTCCTTTCCTCTCTCCTCCTATTTCCTCAGCCTCCTCCTCCCCCTCCTCCTCCTCACTCCTCCTCCCTCCTCCTCCTCCTCCTCCTCCTCCTCCTCCTCCCCGAGCCCCTCGCCCTCCGCGCGCGCCCCCGCCGCGCCGCGCCACAGAGCACCCCCACCCCCTGTCGTCCCCTATTCCCAGACCGCCTCGGGCTGCGGAGAAATCGCGACGGGAAGTGTCCCATTATTTTCTGCCTCCCGGGGCCCTTGCCGGGCCTCGGGGCCGTCCCACAACGACTGAGGGTGAGAATCCGGGTCCCCGGAATGGGTCGAGAACTTTGGGGGTCGACGTAATGAAAAAATCATGACGTCGGGGGTCTGGGTTCTCGAGGAATAGGAGCCCATACCGCTGCCCCTCCTCGTTTTCCTATTTTTTCGGCCGCCTGGGAGGCCCTCGACGCCACCGCTGGATTCGCCGGAACATCCCTGGTCAGTACGCACCCGGGGGAGGTCCGGAGAGTAGCGGTATTGGTCACTTTTGGTTTCTCCACCTACGGCAGGTTCGCGCCGCGTCGACGGACGCGGGCGTTCAAGGCTGAACGCCGCAAGGGGCCCAGAGTCGGCCCATGGCGAACGATCTGCCCTACCGGAAAGCCGTGATCGTTCAAGGTAGAACGATCTTTGCGGTGTCCGAAACTTACGTCGACGTCATTGCCGCATGGACCTGCCGTAGCTCCACGCTGGCTGGGCTGGGGATTTGGCCCTGCTCTTCATGTGGGGCCTGCGAGTCCCAACAGATTGGGAAGCTGGCCGAGTCGTGAGTGCCCCCCACCACCACAGGAGGCGAGTAGTTGTTTAAGACGAAACAGCTTTGGGCTCTGGCCCAAAGTCCTCAGCCAAGCGGAGCAATCCCAGAGGAAAGGCAGCACTTCCAAGGGATGGTCCATGTGTATTGTCGAGCTTCTGGTGAAGAAACCTCATCCCAAAAAGCTGGCTCAGCGTTTCTGTACCAACTTGCCGGACAACAGGTCCAACTTCTTGAGCACGTCCGCCCCTCCAGCGTTCACATCAGATGTTGACCCAGTCTTGTTTTATGCAACTCCCGGGTAGCCGGCCCAGATGTCTTAAAGGATGCTCCTATCGATCATACGTTAGGCGTGTGCTAGGCCCCGTCCCCGTCCCCGCCTCCGTGCTGGTCGCGTCCGCCCTCCTCCTCCTCCTCCTCCTCCTCCTTTTCCTCCTCCTCCTCCTCCTCCTCCTCCTCCTCCTCCTCCTCCTCCTCCTCCTTTCCTTTTCCTTATAAGTAAATTCTCTCTGTCGCACCCGAGGCCAGTTTTTAGGGCGGGCCCGGCGTTTCGCTTGAGACTTCCTCACCACTTATGACTCTGAAGCTGAGGCATTGGCAACCGCTTCACAGATGGAGGGCGGGTGGTTTTCACAATGTGGGTCTCGCTTCAGCGCCGCACACATTCCCTCTAACAAAAATTGCAAGAGCTTCACGGATTGAGGATAATCCGTTTGCAAAATATGGTTTTCGCCTTAACGCCGCCCGCATGTGTTTTAAACACTGCAAGAGCTTCACGAATTTAGGATAACCCGTTTTCGCAATGTGGTTTTCGCCCTAGCGCCGCGCGCATTCGTTCTAAGCATTTGCAGGGGGTTCACGGATTGAGGGCGGTTCCTTTTCAAAATGTGGTTCTCGCGTTCGCGCTACGCACATTCGTTCATAACATGTGCAAGGCTTTCACGGATTCCCATGATCAGCATATCAAAAATGGTGTTTTGGAATGGGTTCAGGGTTTTGCGGGCACAACAATTACGTATATTGTATATTCGCGGTGTTGAAATTCCAAGAGTTGCTGTCTAGCGCGATCCAGGATCGTCAAAGCGCAACAGTCAGGTTGATGCGTGGCGTTGGATTCCCGACAGCAATGGTTTGGCATGCTTCCGGGTCTTCAGTCGGTTGTCGTCCAACGAGGCAGGTCCCTCAATGGAAATGAACCCTTGTAGGGGCCTACGGAGAGGGAACTTGGAGGCAGGGTGCATTCCAACATCGTTCATGGCCTTTGGGTTTACACTGGTGGTCCTCCTCCTCCTCCGCCTCCTTCCCCTCCTCCGCCTCCGTAGCCATTTTGGCTCAAGGCCTAAAGGCGCCCGAAAATCAACGACTCGCTTTGGTTGCATCCGTGGCCAAGGTTCGAGAGGTTCTGGAGCGCAGGGCTCCAGGGCAGCGACGTGATTCCCCGCGCCATCCCCAGCCCCAGGCCCGCCCACTCCAGCAGTGTTGCGGCATGGCTCCTCATCATCGCTATATGGTGTGCTCCAAAGCTGGTAGCAAGGTTGGGAGTGGGCCAGCGCCAAAGCTTGACCCCGCTGCGGCACTTCTCTCAAGCAGCAGCCTTCCTCGACGAGCAGTCGAGGATCAAACGGGCCCTCTTCTGCCCGCCATGCTACCTTCGGGGAGGACACCAGCGGCGCATCCGGTTCGAGCCAGACGACAACGCCACCGACGAACAGGAGGACACCTTCTGGCGCAAGTGGGTTGGAGTTCGGGGCAACAAATATATCGACGCGCTGGAGGTTCCCATGGACGCATAGTTGGAGGTTCTCCGCGGCAAGAGCCTGGAGCAACAGACTCAATCGTTCAGTGGGCAGATCACGACCATCAAAGCTCGACGACCCCAACGCTGACCTCCAGGGCACCGCGGCTCACGTCGCCATCTCCAACCTGGTACATGCTGTGCTGCAGGCTAAGATTCCCTCTGGCGGTGTGGTCCCTCATGAGCTCCAGCACAAAGTACAGTCGCTGGCAGATACCTTCGACAAGCTCCAGCAGCAACACGAGCAGGCCATGGCAGCGCAGGCAGCGACACCCTCAGCCCCAGCAGCGGCCGTCACGCCTAGGCAGCAGCTGCCACCGCCGTCGGCGAAGGCAGCCCCGCTCCAGGCACCGCCGCTTCTCGCCGCAGCAGCGTCGCCACAGCCAGAGACCTCGCAGCACATCCCAGTCGGCCCAGACTCGGAGGAGGAGGGCGAGGCAATGGTTTTCGTGGGCTCCGGCTGCGGCGATAAGCGCACAGCAGACGCGCCCTCGGAAGTGGCTCAGGTCATGGAGGAGGAAGAGGCCGTCGCCGCAGCACGTGGCGCGAGCCAGGCCCCCCAGCCCAGCCTTTGACCTGAAGGTGGTAGCGTTCAATGGAAGCTGCTGGAACACCATTTCCTAGAGTCAGATTGGGCCAATGACGGGACGGCGCTTTGTTCTCAGGAACACAGACTCACCGATGGGCGCGTTATTGCTCAGAAGATTCAGCGGTGCCAGTGGCGGGGCTGCTTTGCTCATATCCCCTCGGCAGCGGCGAGCGAGAACTCCGAGCGCATCAGCGGGCTGCCATCGTCATCAGAGACCTGCTCAACCTTGGGATCGATCCCATATTTGTCCTGCCTCGGTCGGCCCCAGCCGCCTGACGGGCGTCCGCCTCGAGGCGTCAGGCCCTCCCAAGGTGGGCATTTTGCGCGCGCTTCAAACCGTCAGAATGTCTAAGTCAGGCGAACCTCGGCCTGCTAGCAGATATCGCAGTTCAGCAGGAGCTCAGTGAGCTCCCCATCGTCGTCGCAGGGGGCTTCAACATGCCCTTCCCCCCCCCCCTCCCCAAAGGAGATCGAACGCGCAGATTTCCTCCGCGGTGCCTCACTCCGCTCGGTCTCCCCAGAGGCCCCCGCGCACCGAAAGCCCAAGCCGCAAAGCATCCTCGATTATTTCCTGATCAGCGAAACCCGCGGGGAGAAGACCGAGAAGGTCCAAACGCGGACCAGCTATCCATCGTCGCCGCGCAGGCTAGTCTGCCTAGACGTTCAAGGTAGCAACAATTTGCTGATCCCAGTGCTGAAGAAGCCGCAGAGGTCACCTTCGGCCGCACCGATCGGGCCCCAGCCGCGCCCGCGAAGTGGGCGCAGAGCCAGGCCGCACTTCAGCGCGCCGACTCCCTGCTTACCGATGCCGTCAAGCCTATCCGACAGCAGCAGCAGCAGTCGATCCTGTATTTTTTGTTACGTCGCCGTCGTTCACGACTTCGAAAAGTCGATCAGCAGCATCACCGACGCCCCGCTTCAGCACCCGTCGGCCCCCCGAGCGAGCCCCGCCGAGCTCGAGCGGGTCAGAGCTAAGCAGAAGGAAATCGGATTTAAACCTGTTGGAGATTTTTGGAAGGCCCGCACAGATGACTTCGTGACCGGCTCGTCGACATTACTTTCGCCGTCGGCATGCAGGACATTTCGCGCGCAACGCATCTGATCGCGGGCCTGCAGTGCCTGCAGGACCCGCCAGCAGAGTTTCATGCCGTCCTGAGCTTGAAGGACAGCCTGTCCGCAGCCGCCAGCCCATGCGACCAGTTGCAAGCAGGCGCCGCGGCAGGAGTCCTATCCGCGGGCACAGCCGACCAAGCCGTAGGCGCCATCCTCCAGGACCTGGACACAAGCATTTAGTACGAGCGCAAGAAAAGCTTTTCAGAAGCATCCAAATCCTGGGCTTCGTGGGTTCAAACATCTCTCCGGGGAAGCGGCGGCTGAGCCCGTTGATGGACAGGGAACCTTGGCGCGCGGCAGCCAGCCATCACCTTTATGAGTGGCATGTGGTTAGGGCTACCCAGCGGCATTCTTGAAGGTGAAGCAGAAAGGCTGGCGAATATTTGGGACACTACCTCGAAGCTCCAAGTTTCTCCGATCCCGAGGGGCATCGACTATAGGGTTGCCCCGGGGCCCATGCCGGGCCAGGTAACCCAATGCGCCTCCGAAAATTTCGCGACGAGCGCGGCCTCCCTCGTGGGGCGGAGTCCACCCTGGGCACCTTGCCCTGATCACCGAGCAGCAGGTGGACCTGATCGAACAGCTGCTTCTGATGATGGAAAGGCTCGGTTTCATGCCCCCTCAGACACAGGCCATGATCTCGGCACTGATTATGAAACAGAAGCATCAAGACCCATCAGCCACTAAACCAGCGTTGCGCTCAATAGGAATGATGCCAGGCCGGCGTCGTGCGCGGGTTAGATTTCGCCAGTCAGCCGCACGAGCATGGGAGCGGCAGCACAGGGGGGGCATTTTTAGCCCATCAAGCAAGTCATTCCATATTCGAGCTCGTTTTCAAGCAAAGTCTAGACTGCGAGTGTACAGCAAGCGTAATGAGCGAATGCTTTCTGGGATGATCCTCTACGATATCAGCAACTATTATGAGCAGATCAACCGCAGCAGGCTTGCACCCAGAGCTTTCAAGGAATGGGTCCACCCTCCAGGACCTAGTCGCTTACGGTGGGTAACATTGTGCGTGGGGTAGCGGCAGGGTTTTGGCTTGTTGCGCACCTCATACATATGTATACCATAGACCCCATCGCCTCTTGCACCGAGCAGAACCCCAATTTCGGCTTTCACATGTTCATAGGCGACCTTCTCATTCAGTCACATTCGGTCCACATGAATGGTGTCATCCCGAGGTTAGACCGAGGGTCGAGAAGCCTCATCACATGCACCCAGCGGGATCTAGACAGCCCTGTCGCCCCCGCCAAGGCCCAGACGCGCGCCTCCTGCGCAGCGTTGCGCGAGGGGCTCAAGCACAAGCTTCGAGATCGAGCAGGCACGTCGCTGGACATCTCGGGCCCCAGCCCCCGCTGCGACACCTCCGCGGGGGCCCCCCAGTGCCGATGGAGAAAGGGCCGCCTCGCCGCCGCTAGGATGAACCAGACCCAGAAATGGACGAGGAGACCGGGGGTTATCAGGAGGGCAGGAGGAGACGCCAAGAAGATCTACAGCGCGGGCATCTTCGCGGCAACATCGTTCGGCCACGAATTCACAGGCCTCAGCAACGCGCAGTCATCAGTTGCCCGACAGCTGTATCTGAGGCTAGCGGGGCCCAAATGCGCCGCCAGAAGTAGAATCCTCGGCTTGGTTTTGGTGGGAGACCCGACTTGGCAGATGACCTTGGGCCCTGCCCTGGTCCGGCACTTAATCGCGTGGGCGGCCGCCACTATTAAAGGCCAAGGGCATGCTGCCTCACCTTGGCTGCGGGCCCGCGGGGGGGGGCCTTATGGGCCAAGCCCCCCCCCCCCCCGCTGGGGCAGCGCCCGCTGGCCGTTCGGTGCAGCGCAGTTGTCCGTGCAATGGCTTGGATGGAAGCTGCCCCCCCCCGCTTGTTTTTTTTTTTTTTTTTTGGTTTTTTTCATAGTGGAGAAGACGGCGAATGCCCTCGAACCTGCTCTCCCCAGGCTTTGTGCGAAACCTTCTTCGGCGCGGCTGGGAGAGGCGGCTCGCTGAAACCGCGGCCTCGGGGCTCGGCCACCCTGGGTCCACCCTCGATTCCAGAGTCGCCGAGTCGCCGCCAGAGTCTTAGCCAGCCCGGCCCTCAGCAAGCAAGAGAGGGTAGTTGGATGGCTTTTTCGCACGCAAGGCTGCTGAGCGAAGGCCACAGCCAAAAACGCAGGCTACAGCATAGAATGCACGTGCGAGTGCGTAGCCCCCCCTGGACTCCATCAGACACCGCCTCGTTGCCTGCCACTTGGCCGAAGCGGGGGGAGCTCGAGCTTTTCTGTCTGGAGAGTTGGGGTCCATGGTAAATCGTGACAGAGACCCGCTCAGCAGGTTCGGATATCAACAGGCGCCAGATTTTGACATCGGAGCTCCCGGGGGTACAGGATGAACCTGTTGCGACTTTTGGTGCAGAGACCCCTCTTATACCCTAGAAGAAGCTTCTGAGGGGCAAGTATGCGTGGATGGCGGCAGCGACCCGTCCCAACGCCCATCTCTTCGCGCCGCAGGCTGGGCTGTTGTATCCATAGGAGAACCCCGCGCCATCCTCTCAGGCCAAGTAGGACGAAGCTGTCCCCAAGGCTCAGGGGTGGCGTAGTTGCTGGCGACAGTCGCAGCGTGCTCCATATCGCCACTAGTACAAAGAGTACACACGGATTACCTAGGAGCGAACCTTGCGTTTCACCACCCAGGGTCCCCCAAAAAGAACGCGCAAGCAGGTTTCAAGGTTCTGGTGGGCACAGCTGTTGTGCCGCCGGAGCGTTGTCTCGTCAAAGTTAAAGCTCATCAGAACGTGAGCCAGGAGTTTTGTGATCAGGAATATTTCAACCTTGTCAAAGGTAACGACGCGGCAGACAAAGCGGCCAAGAAAGCTCCAATGAAATTTTGCAGGCCTTCAGAGGCTGAGCGGGAGTTTGCCAAGTGCGATGAAAGCCTCCTGTGTTGTTTCCTGTTTTTTGTCGCGAGGATTTTACTTAAGTGGCTTGCTTTGGCCCCGCGTCCAGGAAAGAAAACTTTAGCAAAACCGCAAAGTAGAAACCCACCGACGAGAGCTTCCTCCGCAGCCTACGCCTGGGAACCTGGGGCCGTCTCCCCTCCTCCGTGGCCTGCTCCTCCTCCTCCTCCCCTTGCCCCTGAGGGAGCTGCAGAAACCCATCGGTGGGAGTTTCTCAACGGCCGTCACTTTTTGTACACTGTGCCATTCCACAGCTACGAACGATGCCCAGTGCCACATTAGACGCCTTGAACGATGCCCTGGATATTGTGCTGGCCTGGACTCTCTTGCGCAAAACCCAAGGGGACATCGTCTTTTTATGTTCAAGTACTTGCTCAACTCGAGCACGGTCACCATGTGTTTTGATTGTGGCTCATACTCCGAAGCGGGAACCAGGGCTTTGCTGAAACCGCAGGCGGCGTTGTACCGCCTCAAGGCGTGCCACGAGGCGACGCTGGACCGCCGCAGCGAACACAATTGCTTCGGCGCCTGGCGGATTGGTGTACGTAGTATGTTCGTGCCGGACGCGCGCATCCTACATCAGCACATAGCACATAGTATTACAAGAGAGTGCTTTTCTACCCTCTGGGCCATAGCGTGCGTCATGTCCCCCGTTCCCCCTCCCCCATCACAGAACGCTCCCCCATTCCCCCAGTGTGCCCTCGGCACTGCCGCAGTGCGTCCGGCACCACAGTCTGCCACAGAGGGGGGCGTCACGTTATGCCCCCCCTCCCCTTCCCGCTCCCCGGAGGAGGACGAATAGGAGGAGGAAGAACAGGAGGAGGAGGAAAAGGACGACGACGTGGACGAGGAGGAGGACGAGGAGGATTCAACCTCGTCGCATCACGTGGTGGCATCCACCTCGATGTCGCCGCGAATGATAACACATCATGCTGTCTTGCTATGTCCGCTGGCGTCCCAGCCGAGCGCGGCGCGCGCGGCGCGCGCGCGCGCCGCCGCCCCCCACGGGTTTCGGCAGGACGGGGCCGACCGCCCCCAGCAAGACTGGCAAGTCCATGGACATTGAGGCCGTGCCCTCGGGCCCCGCGGGGCCGCTGGCGCGCCTTCCCACGCCATCCTCCTGTCCTGTGTCCTCCTCGTCCTCCTTGTCGTCATCCTCCTCCTCCCCATCATTTGCGTCCAGCGCTCCTCCGTCTTCGTCTTCTTGTTGAATCGCTTCGCTCACTCCGCCGGCCCATAATTGTGCGCTGTTGTCGACTGACCGAGTGGTTTTTCGCGGTGCTGAGCTGCAGGGGCGGCGGCGGCTGTTTTTATCAGGGGTTGCGTTCGGCATGTGGGGGATAAAGAAGCTCCTGTGCAGCAGCTTCGTGGGGATTTGTTTGGAGCGGGGGGGTTCTCGGGAGGTTTCTTGGTGGCCGCTGGGGGAGTCTTGAACGCGTCGCGGGCCGTTTGGAAGCGTTTTGCCTATGGGCACTCATTGGGGCCTATGGGGGACTCTTACACGCGTGGGGTCTTTGGCACTTGCTTGCGTGTTCGGGGGGCATGTGGGGAGCCTCCTGGGGCCGCTTGCAGGCCTCTTGGGGGCCTCCTGACGGCCTGTTGGGGGCGTCTTGGGGTCTCTTAGGGGCCTCTTGGAGACTCCTGGGGCCGTCTTAGGACCGAGGGCTCGAAATGTTAATTCAATGCATTTTGCCTCTTTGGGTCCTCCTGGGGCCGCTTGGGGGCCTCTTTGGGGCCTCCTGGGGGCCTGTTGGGGGCGTCTTGGGGTCTCTTAGGGGCCTCTTGGGGACTCCTGGGGCCGTCTTAGGGCCGAGGGCTCGAAATGTTGATTCGTGCTCCCCCCCTGGGACCTCTTTTGGGACGGTCTTGGAGCCTTCTTGAGCCGTCTTGGAAGCTTCTTGGGCCGTTTCGGAGCTCTCTTGGGCCGTCTTGGAGCCCTCTTGGGGACTTCTTGGTCCCTCTTGGGGCGGTCTTGGGAGCCTCTTGGGCCGTCTTGGGGTGTCGGGAAGCCGACAAGGTGGAAACGCCAACATCGCTCCAAAACCTAAGGAAAAGCAATGAATTTCGCCATTGTGGGCCCCTTGAGGGTGCTCTGGAAGGCGTGTTGGGCCGTCTGGGGGGCATCGTGTGCGTCTTGGAGCGATCTTGTGGCATCTCGGAGCTGTCTTGTATCATCTTGAGGGGCTCTTGGCGGCCTGGCCTCTTGGCCTTTCTTAGGGCTCTATGGACGGCCTCGAGGGCGGCGCCCAAGAGGAAAACCATCTCTGATCCGCAGCGCCCGGGCTCTGCCCGGGGTACTTTTCTTCCGGGGACCCCCAGGGGCCGCCCCGCGCGCGCGAAATAGACCTACTGTAAAGCAGTTACCGGTGATCTTAGCACGCTTCTGGCCCGTTGGGCCGGCGAATTCTTCTTCTTCGTTTTCCTCCTCCTGCCTCTCCTCCTCCCCCCTCCTCCTCCTCCTCCTCCTCCTCCACCTCTTCCTCGTCACCCTTCTCCTCCTCCTCCTCCTCCTCCTCCTCCCTCCTCCTCCTCCTCCCTCCCTCCCTCCCTCCCTCCCTCCCTCCCCCCCTCCTTCCTTCCTTCCCTCCTCCTTTTTCATCCTCCTTCTCCTCCTGTTCCGCCCCTCTCCCTCCTCCTCCTGTCCTCCTTCTCCTCCTCCTCCTCCTGCTCCTCCTGCCTTCTCCTCCTCCTCCTCCTGCCTTCTCTTCCTCCTCCTTCTTCCCTTGCGCCCAATCCAGACAAGCGGTCTTATAGCGGGTTGCACGCAGCAGCAGACGAACTCTTATGGGCTTGCGCTTCAGCCTCTTTGTCCTCTTCCTCCTTTTCCTCCCCCTTCTCCTCCTCCTCGTCCCCATCCTTCTCAGGTTGCAGCAGCACTCGGACTTTGCCACATGGTCTTGCTGACATACTCATACTCACAATGCATTATCCTCGTCCTCCCCCTGCGCCAGCTCCAGCTAAGCAGGCTTGTAGCAGGTGGCACGCAGCAGCAGACGGATCTACACGGGCCTGATACGGATCCTCTTCCATTCATGTTCTTTCTAGATAATTCACCCCTGTCGCACCCCGAGGCCGGTCGAAAGGTCGGGCCGGGCGTTTCGCTTGAGACGGCCTCACCATTTATGCCACTGGAGCTTCAAACTGACAACACCTTCACATATGGAGGGCGGGTGGTTTCATAATGTGGGTCTCGCCTCAGAGCCGCGCGTGTTCGTTCAACGAATTTTGCACACGTTTCACGGGTTGATGGCGAGCGGTTTTCAACATGTGGCTCTCGACTTAGCGCCGCGCTCAGTATTTTACTAAGAATTGTAAGAGATTCTCGGATGAAGGGCAGGTCGTTTTAACATGTGGTTCTCGCCTTAACGCCGCGCACATTCGTTTCCAAACAGTGCCAGGGCTTCACGGATTGAGGACAGGTCATTCTCAAAATGTCGTTCTCGCCTCAGCGCCGCGCACATTCGTTCAAAACACTGCGAGGTTTTCACGGATTGAGGGCGGGTGGTTTTCAACATGTGGATCTCGCCTTAGCGCCGCGCACATTCGTTCAAAAACTTTGCAAGGTTTTTGTTCACGGATTGAGGAACGTGGTTCTCGAAAGCATTTCGCGGATTCTCATGATTCATTTTCCAAGCGTGGCGTGTTGGAACGATTCAGGATTGTCAGGGCGCAACAGTGGCGTTGATTCGCGGCGTTTAAGTCCCAAGACTGGTGTTCTTTCGCGATTCAGAATCGACGTCAGGTCGACTCGTGGTGGTGGTGTCCTGAGAATGGTGCTCTGGCACGCATCAAGATTTTCACACGGTTGTCCCCCAACGGCGCGCTTTCCTCTTTGGAAATGAACTCTTGTAGGGGCCTGTGAAGATGGAGCTCGGAGGGAGGGTGTGTTCCAACATCGTGGATTCATCTCTGGCTTGCACTGGTCACCCTCCTTCCCCTCGTCCTCCTCCTCCCTCCTCGTCCTCGTCCTCGTCCTCGTCCTCCCTCCTCGTCCTCGTCCTCCTCCTCCCCTCTCCCTTACATCGTGGATTCATCTCTGGCTTGCACTGCTCCTTCTCCTCCTTCTCCTCGTCCCCCTCCTCCCTCCTCCCTGCTCTCGGCCGTGAGGAAAAAGGATTCCCCGAGGGACGGGGCCCCGCGAGAAGCCCACAGGAATCGAAAAGGCGAGAAAGTCAAGATCACGCAGGAGCCGCACACGCTGTTCACTTCTAATTATTCGAAAGCTCTTTCATTTTTTGGGGAGGGCCAAGACCCTTTCATTTCTGAGTGTTCTATCCTGGGCCTCTTCCTGGCCACTGGGGGACCAGGAACGACGAGATACGAGCACAAGTAGAAATGAGCACGACTAGAAATGGACGACGTGTACTTGTTTCACTGTTCTTGGTCTCCTTGGGACCTCGGGGGAGGCTCTGTGGGGCCATCTTGGGCCACCTCCGGGGCGTTCCTGGGGCCTGCTACCCACAGCTCCCCGTTCCTGTGCTTCTATTGGAACTCCCCTGGGGCGATGCTGTGTCTGTCTCTGGTGTCCTGAGGGCCGCGCCTCGGAGAACATCTCCGGCGCGAGTCTTCGGGGCTTGCCCAGAGTGCTTCTCGTCTGAGGACCCCCCTGGGCCGCCCCCCTCGCGCGCGAACCAGCGATATAGAATTATGATGATCCATGTGTGTAATGTCAGAGCTTGTCCTGGATGAACTTCCCCCGCGGCCGAGTGCACTTCCTCCTCGTCCTTCTCAAACTCCTCTCTCCCCGCGTGCTGCGGGCGAGAGGGAAGAGGAGGAGGGAGGAGAAGAAGTGGGAAGACGGAGGACGAGGAAGTTGGGGGTAAGCAGGGAGAGGAGAAGGCAGAATGGTGAGACATGGATGAGTAAACTTCCCCTGCCACCTCGCCCTCAGCGGGCCCTGTCGTTTCCAGGGCCCACTGGGGGCGCGAATGGGAGGCGAAGTTTTCTTGCCGTTGTGACTCGTCGAGAGGTTTTCTGTTTGATCAGTGTTTGATCAGCACCAGGATCCGAGGCGAAGTGGTTATCTTTTCCTTGGTTTCGGGCCCCAGGGTGGCTCATAGTAGTTACGCCTCGCCGAACGCTATCTCGGAAATGCCGGAGTCGTCCATCTCTTTCGTTGTCCCCCTCCCTCCAGAGCAAATGCTGAAGCATAAGTACTTGTCTTGGGCGAGTTCCAATTTGAGATGTGGCTCCCATCGAGGGCCAGCCAGACCATGTGAATGACGGCCTTGGTAAACTTTCTGGCTCCATACAACTGTGGTACATGCGCTCGCCCACGGCGTGCCACATTTCGTGTCGCTTGCCCTGCAGGATCTGTGTTTTGTCCTCGGCGTTGTTCGCGGCCGCTCCCTTCAGGTACCGTGTTCGCTAGCGCACGTCCTCGAACTTTGAAATGTGTGGGTGCCCTGCTTGCAAAGGGAGATGTTGAGCAAAGGGGCGTGCACCCTGCAACCCGTTGGCGCGTTCAGCGGGCTTGTAGGTCTTCTGAAGTGGAGCGAGCAGCAAACCCCGATTACCAGAATCATATCGGGGGACTGGTCCAAACTCGAGATCATGCGTGCGCCCTTTCCGTGGGCTGGTCGGGAAAGAAGATTCAGAGCGGCGGAAAGGTCCAACGAAGTGGTTGGCGCGCGTTTCTCTCCACATCCTGAAGCTTTTCGCGGCAGCGTTTGTTTGCGCCAGAAGGGGAGGGATATATTTCCTGTCTGTGTTGCCATTTGATGCCGGACCCTATGTGAGATTCTGCCGTTGCTTACCTGGGTAAGTCTAACAACGTCATGCTGGTCCAGACCATCCCTCACCTCTACTTCCGCATCCTCCTCTTCACCCTTGTGAGCATCTGTTCACCCAGCAGCTTGCGCAAGCTGATTGTAGCCGAGGACTCCATCGCTGATTTTGCTCACAGGTTGGGGCGCCAGGATAGTAGCGAACCGATTCGACTTTGTGGAGTTTCAGAAATTGTCGCATCCCTGTCAAAGCTGGGTCGGGATCAGCAGGGTGCGTCGAAGCTGGGCAGAGGTCGCAGACATCGTGATCTTCGCCGGCAAGCAGGCCGCCCCCTCGGTGAACTCTTCCTGCCAAATGCGCCTCTTTTGGATCTTGTGAAGGAGAGTAGGGCGCTTCTTGGTCGGAGGAGGTGGCGAATGTGTCAGGAGTGAAATGAGGAGTTGGTGCATTTGCCATCCGGATCGTGATGATGCGTGGCGTCGGTGGGTCGACGAAATGGCGAGGGCGGTCCAACGCATGTGTCTTGGCAGGTAGCACGTTAAGCTTGAACTTGAGGTGCGCCCAATGGTGATCACCTCCTAGACCCCTTCGGGTCATGAAAATGTCATTATTTCAGCCCCTGAGGGCCCTCGCCGGGCCTCGGGGCCGCTGAACGGCTTCGCTTGCCCGGGTGCTTTTCATTGGGGAGGGATTTTCTGCCCCTTATCCAAGGAGAAGTAGCTGTCCTCTGCGCGTGCTTCGCCGCCTGCTGGCCCAACATGGCCACCAGCAGGAGGGGCCGCAGGAGCACGCAGGAGCACGGCCGTGAGCTGGGCCCCCTCGGTTCGCCTGCCACCCACCGGGCAGTCTTTGCTCGAGTGCTGCTAGAAGTGCCCCTGGCCCAAGTTTGCCCCCGGGATCTCCCAGAAGACCCCCACGGCCTCCAGAGCACCCCCTCACGAGGCCCAGAGGGCCCCAGAGGCTCCAAGATGGAGCGGGAAGCTGGGGGCACCTCGGGCCAGGGGTACCTTCAGCAACCCCCGACGAAAGGTCATGATCATCCAGTTCTTCAGTCGGGGCGCTGAGGAAGGAACCCTTTTCGTGTGGGAGGGGCTCGGTGTTCCTTAGTTGTTTTGCAGCTCGCCTTCGGTTTTGCTTGGGGTTTCGATGGGAAGTCGAAGTAGAACTTCTGGAGACAAAGGGCCTCGTTCCTCATTTTGGGTTCCTTAGGTCAACGCCCCGACTGTATGATCATGTAGTTCTGTCTTCTTCTGGGCATAGCGGCAAGGGCTCCTCAGGAGGGCGTCGCCAGCGCGCGCTCCGTTCGGACGCGCATGCTGCCGCAGCCGAAGGCCGCGCCCTCTGGGGCTGCAGGAGGTGCGCTTGGCATCGCTCGGACGTGTGCATCTCGCCTTCGGCGAGGACCATCGAGGAGCATCCTTGATCATTTGGCGAAAAAAAAAGACACGCACGAAACTGAAAAAAACACAGGGAATGGACGTCCGAGCCATGGCGAGTGCGGGGCCTGCCGCACCGGGGGGAGACACTGGCTCGCAGACCTTGGGCCATGGGGCACCTTGAGCAGGCCCCACTCTCTGAGTCGGCTCTTTCCCCTCGCCTTCCCCCCGGCCACCTCGCTTCCGAGGGCGGCGGCGTCCGTTCTGTATGTAGGCGCCGATGGCCCTCTGCGCTCCTCTTCGGGGCGACGTCGCGGGGGGGGTTGGAAGGGCCGCGGGCCGGGACCGCTTCGATGGCAGTGCTCCGATGGCAGCGGCTCCGATGGCAGCGGCTCCGACGGACAATCAAGGGAGGAGCAGCCACCCCGGCCCCGGCAACTGGCGTTTACCAAATTGCCCTGGGCGTTTACTAAGCAGCCCTGCCCTGTTCGATTCCTTCCTCGGGTGCGTTTGCTGGACGGCTTCGAATGTCGGGGCCATTTTTCGTGGGGGGATTTTTCTGCCCTCCAAAAGTTGGAGACCGAAATCGGTCGAGGAACAACGGAAGATCCGAAAGAGGAGCGGAACCTTGGAAGAATCGCCTCAGCTCAGCGCCGCGCCGCGGCCGAGCTCGGGCGGCCTGGCACAGCGCGGGGCAGAGGCTCTGAAGCAGAAAGCTCTGCAACGGAAAAACCGACCGGGAGAGTATGGAAAAGCAAACGAACCCTCCGAAGTGAGCGGGACGGGCCTGCGGCTGGGCAGGCCCGGGCCTGTGGCGAGGCCTGGGAGGAGTTCAGATGAGGAATCCGGTGCCCATACCACCTCTGCCCCTTCGCCCGTTGTCCCATTCTCAGGCCTCCTGGGAGGCCCTCGTCGCCACCGCTGGATTCGCTTCGAACATCGGGTCAGAACGCACCCCGGGAGAGGTCCGGGGAGCGGCGGTATCGGTGCCCGTTGGTCTCCCCTATGGGTATACCCCGTTGCGAAGGGGCTCCGCCCCAGGACTGGGAGGGCCAGGGCCGCGATGCCGGGCACGGAGGAGAGGCGGCCAGGGAGCGCCCTTCGGGGGCGGAAAAGAGGGGGGTGCTGACTAGGGGGGGGTGGATGTCATGGCGGGGGCCATGATATTTCCCCAGATTTCATTGCGCCTCTTCTTGTTTCATTACGTCCCTGGCCCCCCCGCTGGGCCGCGCACATGCCGCCGGTCATGATTTGCACCCCCCCCCTTTTGGACACCCCCCTCTTGGTCGCTCCCGAGTTCTCAGACTGGCCGCGCTGGGGTCGAGGATGCCTCTGGCCTCCAGCTTGAAGCTCCGCAGCGGGCCGCCGCTGCAGGCTGCTGCTCTGCCTGCGCGGTCGCGTCGTCGGGTTCGAGCTGTCGCGCGCGGGCCCTGCCTGGAAGCGCGAAGCGAAGACGGTGGAAGCTGCAGCGGGTTGGGCACGATTTGTATCCATATCCGCTGCGTCTTGGCCTTCCTCGGGAAGGGGCGCCAAAAGGTCGAGGCGCAGTGGATATCGATAAAGATCTAGCCCCAGATATGCGACGTCCGTTTTTTTCAATACGGGGTCCCTGGAAGTGTCCCGACCCTTTCCCAGGGAACGGTTTTTCATCCACTGAGTCGTTGTTTGACGGCCCCGAGGCCAGGCGAGGGCCCCCCGAGGCCGAAAATTGCCGAAAACCTCCCGTCCTGATTTTTCTCAGCGACGCGGGCATGCCTGGGGCGTCTGGGGGGGCCAGATGCACTGCGCCTCGGGCCTCCGTGGTGGCAGGGGGGCCGCCACGCCAGGACGCAGCTCGGGCCCCCAGAGCCTCCCGGCCAGGCGCCGCACTGCCGCGCACTGGCGGCGGCCCGGGGGCGCACCCAGACCCCCGACGTCATGATTTTTTCAGGACGTCGACCCCCAGAGGTCCCGACCCTTTCCCCAGGACCCACTTTGCATCCCGAGTCGTTTTTTGTGACGCTCCCGAGGCCCGGTGAGGGCCCCCGGAGGCCGAAGAGGAAGGAAAACCGCCGCCCGTCATGATTTTGTTCACTGCTCGAGGGGGTCTGGGGGCGCGCACGGGCGGCGCGCGCGGGGCCTGCTTTTCGGGCGCCATGCGCGCCCCGGCCGCGGCGGCGGGCGCGGCCGGCCTGGCGCTGCGCGCCGCGCAGCAGCGCGCCGCGGCAGGCTCGGGCCCCTCGGCGCCCTCGCGCGGCAGGGCGGCGGAGGCCCCGCCCGCCGCCCGCCGCCGCTGCCGCGGTGCCCCGCCGCGGGCCGCGCGCTGTCGAGCACGGCGGCGCCCGAGGCGGCGCCGCAGCCCAGGCCGCACCCGGTGAGCATCCGGCTCTCGGGCCGGACGAGAGGGGGGTCGACAGCCCTGACCTTCCAGGAGGGCTATAAAAAGAGCACCCGGCTTAAGAACCCATCCCAGAGCTATTCTACGTCTTGGTTTTAGGCTGTTTCGTTCAGTTTTTGTTATGTTTTACGTCTGCAGTGCTAAAAAAATAGCTCTCTGGAAGGTCAGGGAGGGAAAGGGGGGGTATAAAACAGGGCTGGGATCGAGATAAATCGCTCCAGAGCGTTCCGGAGCGCTCTCAGAGCGTTCCAGAACGCTCTGGAGCGGCCGCTCGGCGCCCAATACATCCTCCAAACCCGCCGATTCTCAGAGATTTCGAGTTATCCCGATCCGATTTTGTCCCGATCTTCGCGTCGTTTTAGGGTGCGAGATTTGCAGCATGCAGCTGGTGTCGGCCTCACCGAGGGGCCCATTCCTCGACACATGGCCGCCTCAGGCGCCGGGAGGCGCCGGGGAAATCAGCTACGCGACCTGATTCTCACCCCCCCCCCTTTGCTATCGACCCCCTTTCGCCCGACCCGAGGTTCGCCTTCAGCCACAAGCCGTTCTTCCCGGTGTGGTCCAGGAACTTGAGGGACCTCTGGAGGAAGAAGAAGAAGAGGCTCGTCGGCAGGGGCATGGGCTCGCGGAGGAGGCTCAACAAGTCCGCCGTCCTGAATCGGATCCGGAAGCCGAAGACGTTTGAGGCAGGGGGAACGCCCCTCTTCAAGAGAACGCCGCGCTGGCCGGCGGCGTACGCGAGAAACAAGATCAAGAAGCTGGACATGCTGAACCTATCGAAGCTGCGGTACTTCATAGAGAAAGGCAGGTTGGACACCCGGTTCCCGATCACCCAGAGGCACTTGGGCGTCGCGTAATGGGGGGATCGTAAATGGGGGGGTGGCGAGGGTGGTCCGAAAAGGTACCCAAACGGTACCTAAACGAGCCCCCTGGGGCTCTGGAGGGGCCCGAAAGGGGCACGAAAGGCATTTGTGACCCCCCCCATTAAGTCACGCCCGAGGCACTTGTATGATTCGAGGTGCGTTGACAAAGTCAAGGTCGGCGTGGGCCTCTACAACGTGAATGACTTCCCGTTTCCGTATAAGATCGACATAGAGGTAGCAGGAGGGAAATAAACACACAGACACAATTAATCGTCGACTCCCAGGAAAATAGGAAAATATGGGAATTGGGCGGGAAGACAAAAACCCAGAAAATATGGGAAAATATGGGGAATATTTGTATTTGTGTGTATTTATTTGTGTGTCCCAGGGCCCCTTCAAGGTAGCTGGCGCCGACCAGAGCTCCCTGGACATGATCAAGGCCGTCGGAGGAACGGTCACCATCGTCTACATGGAGAGGGTGGGGCTCCGCGCCCACCTGAAGCCATGGAGGTTCGAGGTGCTGCCAAGGACGGCGCGTCCGACTCTCAAGATGGTGCACTACCTCGAGAAGATGAAGGGCCGCGGGGCGCAAGTGAGGTACGTCAAGCCGCTATGGCTGATCGAGGAGGAGCGCCGGCTGCAGACACAGCTGCGGGAGCTCCAGAGCGAGGGTGGCCACTTGGCGGCTGAGCGCCTCGCGCGTGCCAACGAGCGCCCTGGGGTCGGCGCGTAGTGGTGGGCGCTGGGGCGGGCCGCGCCGCGCCGGCTTCCGCAAGAAAAAACGCAGCGGATACGGAGAGAGATCTTGCTCGCAAGTGGGGCAGCCGGTTCAGGTCGAACGCGGGTTGGGCCTTGGCCTCGTGTCGCCGTTCGCCGCCTCCTCGCAACCCCCGCCTGGCTGTCGCTCTGGCCAGCTTGGTGTACGGTCGGGAACCTTCGCTTCGTGTCGCGCCGCCGGTGCTCGCCCACTACGCTTCGGAGCGACACGCTGACCACGTCCCGGTCCCCAGGCATCAACGTCCCGAGCCTCTCTCAGCTTGGTGGTCTCCAAACCAGGTGGTGAGACACCCAGTGGTGATCTCGATTCCCCCAAAAATCATTCTGGGTCACCACCGGGTTTGGGGACACGCGGTCGCCACGAGGTTTTTTGCGTTTCCTGGGCCAGCCGGCGCTCGAAAACCATTACCCAAATCGCCCAAAACTCACCACCGGGTGTTCTCACCACCACGTTTGGGGACCACCAATCAGCCTCCCGCGGAGCGGAGCGGCGCGCCATCCAGGCACAACACGTCGCGGGGGCCGCTGCCGCGACGCTCCGAGCAGCAGTTGCCGACCCTGACCGCTCACTCGGTGCTGGGGTCCCGCTCTGCGCGCTCGGAGCCCGGCGTCGTGCCAAGGGCGGCAGGTGCCTTTCGTTCCGTGGCCACCTCGCGCAGCATTTTCGGGGGAGCGTGAGACCCGGGTTTGCCAGGGCTCGGGCTCGCCATCGTTTTTTGACGACCGCACCTCGGATTTTGGCGAGGAGGAGTTTCGTGGGATGTCTGCAGCGGGAGGCCTCGTCAAAATGCAGGCTCGGCCTCGTCACTTTTTTGACGACCTCGTCGGGGATTTCCGAGTCCACTGTACCCAGGTCTTACGTCCCCCTGATATTTGGCGTCGGCCTGACGATTCTGGCTTGGCAGTTGGTCAGAGGAGGAGAGGGTACCGAGACATACCGCTGCTCGTCCCGGAGATCCCTCGTCGCCACGGTTGGATCTGCCACCAAACTCTGGTCAGCACGCACCCCGACTGAAGGCCCAGGAATTGCCGCATCAGTACGCTCATGCCGCCCCAGCTGCAGGCGGTGGGACGGCGCCCCCGAGGATTTCCGCCGCCGCCTGCTGCCCTGCGGGGGGGACGGTTGTCTGACAGCCGGAGGGGGTCAGTGGCCTCTGGCGGCTGCGGCGGCCAGTCTGTGGGTGGGCGCCGAGGTTAGTGACAGCCAGCGGCGCGCGCGGCGGCACGCGTGTTGTCCCCCCAGCCGCCCCGGCCTTCGTCGTGCGGAAGCTCGCGCTGAGCTGAGCCAGATGACGGCTGAGCACCGTGCAGTTGCTGCCGCTGGGGCGCAGCGGCCACTTCGCACCCCAGCTCCAGCCCCCGTCGTCGTGGCGCAGGCCTCCTCCGCCTCCTCCTCCTCCTCCTCCGCCTCCTCTCCCTCCACCTCCTCCTCCTTGCCCTCATCCTCCTCCTCCGATCTCTAGTCTCCCCCATCCACGGAGGAGCTCTTCTACAACGCGATCTTGAAGCTGAACTCCGGCGTCAAGTCACCCGACCCCCTCCCTCTTGAAAGCCAGGGAGTCGAAAAAGAAAGATTGCCATACACATAATTTTTGTGGCGCTCCGCGTGGATTTCTTGGACCCGCGCTGGCGCCGCCCCTGGCGCGCTCCGCGCGCTTGGGAGGGGTTCCAGCGCAGATCCAAGAAATCCTCGCGGAGCGCCAGGAGTTTATATGTTTATACCGTTGTTTCTTCTTCTGAGGAGGTGCGACGAGAGAAGGATGCTAGCTCGTAAGTGCGTGCGGTGGTGTGGCCCCTCCCCCAGCCAGGGGCTGTGCGTCGACGCAGTCAGCGTGAGGTGGCCGAGTGGACCGACGCTGTCCTTGCGAGCGCGGCTGCAGAGGGCCTTTGTGGTGCCGATCGGACTCTCGATTTGGTGAACAGATGATTCCGAGACGGAAGGTACTCCAGATTTCGTAATAACAGGGAGGGGGTCTGGACCCTCCAAGGCAAGCCATTTCAGACCCCCCCCCGTGGGAGAACCCTCCAAAGCATCGTCCCCAGACCCCCCCAGGCCCTCCAAGATAGCCTGGAAGAGACCCCCCCCCGAAATGAGACCCCCCTCCCTTTCTTACGAAATCTGGAGTAGGTAGGGTCGTGTCGTGTCGACCGTCGGCGACCCCGCCGCTGGCATTCAATGTTGAACGCCGCCGGCGGCCCAGAATCGGTCGCTATTGAACGATCCGACGTTTCGTAAACGGCCGATCGTTCAAGGTTGAACGATCCCCGCGGTGTCGGAAACAAACGCCGTGTTCGGCACGGCACGAACCTGCCGTACCCTCCCCAACTGGTTGTGCATGTCCTTTTCTCCATCGAAGCGCGTGTCCCTGAACACTCACCCCCTGAGTCGTCCGTCGAGGGTGGCATTCTTGCTCAGGCTGCGTCGCAGCCGCCTCCCAGCTGCAAGGGCCAGGCTCCCCATTAGGTGGCCGCCACAGTTCGGACCGCCCAGGCTGCCGCCGACCCGATAGAGTCACCCCGCACAGCAAGGATCGGCAACCTTCCCAAGGGGACTCTTGCATCCTTGCCTCTTCGGTCCATCCTTGGCCACTTTGGTTGGCCGCGCCCCGATAGAGAAGCGTGCAAGGCCCTTGCATCCCTATCGCGCATGCTTATCTGGGGACTCTCGCATCCTTGCCTCTTCGGTCCATCCTTGGCCACTTTGGTTGGCCGCGCCCCGATAGAGAAGCTTCGACATGGGCGTGCAAGGCCCTTGCAGCCCTATCGCGCATCCGTATGATACGGGCCGACTGTAGTGGGGGGTGGCCCTTATGGGGGGTGAAGAGAAGGGCTCGAATGTGGGCACCTTCAGAGCCCCTTTTGGGGCACTGCTGGCTCCAAAAGGGGGCCTAAAGGGCCCCTTTCCCTGACCTTCCAGAGAGCTATTTCTTAGCACTGGAGACCTAAAAACCTAAAACACGAAACGAAACAGCCTAGAACCAAGACGTAGAATAGCTCTGGGATAGGTTTTTGGGTCGGGTGCTATTTTTTAGCCCTCCTGGAAGGTCAGGGTAAGGGCCCCCATTAGCACCCGCCATTCGGGTCACCCCCCATTAGCACCCGCCGGACAGAGGTCTCCCCAGCAATGGCTTGCACGCTGGGATGCGGCGTCCCCGCGGCCCTCTAGAGCTTCGCACCACAGGTCACTCTTGCCCAGGGTCGCTCTTGCGTGCGGTCGGACCATTTGCTTCTGGGGTTGCGGCGCTTTGGGGTTGCGGCGCCTCCGAGCATTGAGCTCTCGAGTGTATCGAGGGCTCTGCCTCCTGCTCTCCCTCCTCCGCCCTCCTCCCTGCTCCCTGCTCCCTCCTTCCTCGTCCCCTTCCCCCCCTGTTCGTATCGGCGGCAAGCTAGGGGGTGAGGTGAGAAGGGGGAGGCCTTCTCAGAAGGCGGTGGTGTTTCTCAGAAGTCCCCATGACATTCCAAGAAATCAATTACTCAGGGACCGCTCTCTACATCCGGCTGGAAATTGTGGAATCAATTCCGCATGCACGTTCCGAGAGGACTCGGCATTCAACAGGCAGCGCCGCAACTCTTATTCGGACCGCGGGGCAGGCCGACAAAGAAAAGCGGGCCAGGCCAGGAACAACACGGGCAGGAAAGCGACGAGCCGAGGAGCGAGAAGGGGGAGGGGGAAGGAGGGCGACAGGGAAGGACAGGCCGGGCCGACAGGCGGGCGGACGGGGGGACGGGGAGAAGAAGCCAAGCAGGGCGGGAGAGGGAGAGCACGCACACCCGCGAGCCAAGAAACACCAGGGCAAGGAGAGGACATGCCCTGACCTTCCAGAGAGCTATTTTTTTGGGAACCGGAGACCTCAAAACCCAAATAACTAGACGAAACAGCCCAACACCAAGACGTAGAATGGCTCTGGGATCGGTTTTCAGGTCGGGTGCTATTTTCTGGCCCTCCTGGAAGGTCAGGGTGGAGAGGGAGAAGGGGAGAGGGGGGTGCCGCGAGCCAAAGACGCGGCAAGGCAGGGGGGACGCTCAGGGGCCAGCGGGCCGGGGAGGGGGCGGAGGCCCACGGCGCCCCGCTCGGGGCGCCAACGGGCGGCTGGCCGCAGATTCCGGCTAGGCTCCTGCCCTGAGCACCGCGCGCGCTGGGCGGACGAATCCCGCCCCCCCATGCATTGCTCAGCAGAGGCGCGGAGGCACGAGGACGAACAGAAGGAGAGGAGGAGGAGGGGGAGGAGGAGGAGGAGGAGGAGGAGGAGGAGGAGGAGGAGGAGGAGGAGGAGGAGGAGGAGGAGGAGGAGGAGGAGGAGGGGGAAGGCACTTAGTCCTCCTCCTCCTCGTCAGTGGCACGGATGTGTTGCCTCACAGCGGGGAGCGTGCCACTGGAACTCTCCATGGCCGCTCGTTTGCTGACTGCTGGCGCGGAGCTGCGCGCTATCACAGCCGCGATGCGAGCCAAGAGTTCACGTCTAATCGCTCCCGGCTCGCGCCGCTCCCTGGCGCCTGCCGTTGCTGCGATGGCCCGGACCGCCGCGTCAGCAGCCTTGGACGTGCCCCCCCTGCACTTCGTGCACCACCGGCCAAAAGCGGTAACGGCTAACGGGCGATAGTTAAGGCGCCCCCTTTTTCCCCTCTATTTATTTATCCCCGACCACAGGGATCTATCTGTGGGGAAGGCGCGGGGGCCACACTTGATAATCACCTGGAAAGCTGCGGGGATCGAAGTTGCTATCATATCATGTTGATTCGCAACAGCATCAAAAACGCTGAGCATGGCCATGGTAGTCTCATCACACCAGCTTCCGCAATCACGATCGTGTGGCAGGGCTGTGGGATTCTCACCAGCTCAGTTTCCCAAGCCCGCCACGAGGCCTCCCAAAGCCGCCGCGAGGATCCTCCGCAAGCTCGGCGCCATTGGCCCTGGCGAGCATTGCCCAGCACCGAGCAACAGACGGTACCAAGTAGACTGTTGGAGCTGCGGCCTCTGGGCAAGTCGCTGGATCGAGTGCGCCCTGCGCGAGATCCGAGGCGAGCGCCGCCAAATGCTAGCAGCTCTCCACGCCGCGGTCGTTCGAGGGAACGAGTTCATCAGTAAACTCAAGGAGGCGAGCGACAACGACGTGGCGATGGCCAAGCCAATGCTAAGGCCAAGGCCAAGCACAAGTCCAAGCCTTGCATGGACCCCACGGCGGCCGAGCTCGAAGTACGCCACCTACGAGAAGGCTAGCGCCGCCGCCCAGCTTTGCACCAAGTGTGGCCCATGCAAGGACGGCTCCAAAGGATGCCGTGCTTGCAGGAGAGAGTGGTTCGAAGGCCAGCGCAAGAGGGGTTTCTTGGCCAGATCGGCCAAGGACCTCTCTTGCGCTGGCAACATTTCGGCCCCCAGCCATGAGCCTCGAGATCCCTCGAGTCAGCCCTGTGTCCTGCGCCTCAGCGGGCGAGTAGCCGCGAGTCTCGAGATCTCTCGAATAATATCAGCGTAGTGCGCCTCTGCGGGCAAGTGGCCACGAGACAAGAGGTCGCTCGAGTCAGGCTTCAGTCGTGCGCCTGGTTTAACCTCCTCCTCCATCATCGTCGTGATCACCCTCATCATCATAACTTACCTTCCCCGGGAAAATCCTTCATATCCCCGCGGGAACCGCGAGCTTTATTATCCGCGGGGGTTTATTATCGCCCGTTCAGGGTTATCCTGCCTGAATACACTGTTGCTCTTTGTTCTGATGAGGTCGCTTGAAGTCGTCGTACTTTTCCGCGGCCGCACCCGCGCCCGAAGCCGTGTCTCACCGATGGCTCGGCCCCAACGCGTTGATGACAGCACAGTCGAAGCAGACGGGCTCGGTCCGGATGGCCCGGGCGCCATCCAGAAAAGTTCTGGACAGGGCCAGCGCCGGAATACCTGGTCTACGTCTGCTGTCCTGGCCAATCACATTCCGGAGCACCCCTGACGCCTCGCACTCAGGGCGTAAACTCGGGGCGTAAGCCCCGTGGCATTCTAAGAAGTTATCAGTGTCTCCAGGAATGGCTTATATCACTTTTCAGGAGGCCGACATCTTCCGAGCTTTCTACGAAGGCCGCCCCTTCTTACTACTTCCTCGGGCGCGCCGCCAGCGCGTATCTTCTCAAGGAAACGGCCCATGATATCGCCCATTGGGGGTGAGGGTTATGCGCTTCAAACCGTCAGCGTGTTGGAGAAGGCCTAAGTCCATGGATTTGCCTTCCCACGTCGTGCGCAGCAGGCAGTGCGTCGGGTCCGGCTCGAGCAAAGATTCTGTCCAGTGCTGCGCGGGGCGCTGGAATGTGGCAGAGAAGGCCGCCACCATGAAAGGGCCCCCATTATTCCTCCCGCTCTCGCTGTCACCACGGAGTCCACCATCACACTAGGCAGTACGATAACAGCCCTTAAATATCGTTTCCTGCAAAGCACAACATGGTGTGGATCCACTAGCTGGGGCATCGACTGACCCAAAGCCGCCAATGACGCGCTGCCACACGCAATGTTTTGATGTTTAAGCATCGCTCCGAGACCCCCACCCC